TTGAATGGTTGTGACACCTATGGACTCCAGACATCTGTCTCTTTGGCCTCTGCTGTATCCTCAGCACTTGGAATGATGCCTGGTTCTCAGCAGCCCCAGGACTGGTTCAGTGGAACTGTCCCCCCTGTTGGTAAAGCATAGGAGTTTCTTTCAAGAGACCTTGTATTCAAACTCCATGTTTGAGGTGCTGCTACCTAAAGCAAGCCCATTGTCGTCGAGTCAGTCCAACACATAGCAATGTCGTAGGACAGGGTAGAACTGCCCCATCGGGTTTCCAAGGCTGTAATCTTTACGGACTGTGGTTTGGACCCACCAGCCTGCTCCATGGAGAAAGATGTGTCAGTTGGCTTCTGTAAAGATTACAGCCTTGGAAACCCGATGGGCCAACTCTTTTCTATCCCAGGAGGTTGTTGTGAGTCGGAATGGACTGGACGCCAATGGGTTTGGCTTTTTGGTTTTGGAGTCTTTGTGGAAGCAGACTGTTACATCTTTCTCCTGTGGAGCAGCTGGTGCGTTCGAATCACTGACCTTCCACTTAGCAGCCATGCACTTAATCACTCTGCTACTGGGGCTCTGAAACTGATAAAAAAAAAAAAAAGCAAACCAAACCCACTGCCATTGAGTCGATTCTGACTCATTGAGACTCCCATTGGGTTTCCAAGGGGGTAAATCTTTACAGAAGTAGATTGCCCATCCTCCTTCCTTGGAGTGGCTGATGGGTTTGAACCGCCAACCTTCTGGTTATCAGTCCAATGCCTTAGGTGCTGTGCCACCAGAGCTCCCTGAACCTGTTACAGAGGAGACAGAATCAAGCCCAGCACTCCTACTGCCTTTTAATGGCCTGGGAGTCTGAGCTTGTTATCTATTGCTGTGTAACTGCTTACCCCAAAATTTAGCAACTTAAAACAACAAGCATTTAATATCATGGGATTTCTGTGGCTCGGAGAATCTGGGAGGGCTACATGGTGTCCCTCTGCCATCAGCCCCAGGCAACCACTGATCTGCTGTCATTCTAGATTTGTTGTTATTGTTAGGTGCCGTGGAGTGACTCGACTCAATGACCCTGTGCACAACAGAACGAGACATTGCCTGGCCCTCACCCTAGGTTAGCTGGCATTTTATAGAATAACAGAAATGGAATCATTCCAGGTATACTCCCTTTTGGTGTCTGGCTTCTTTGGTCCACCATAATGTCTCTGGGCTTTGTTCATGTTCTGAGTGTATCAGAACCTTGTTGCTTTTGAACGCTGAGTGGTGTTCTACTTTGTTTCCTGATGTCCATTTTCCTGGTGGTGGATGTTTGAAGAGCATTCTAATATGAAGAATGGCAGAAGTCAAATGCTACAGAAACTCAGGGTGGGTCGGTTTGTAACCTTGGAGGGGTCCTTGCACCATAGTCAGAAGGTAGGAGTCAGGCCTCTGCAGGTTGGGTGAGGGGTGGATGTGATTCAGGACATGGTAGTTGCTTGCTGGACAGTGTCCCCGTGGCAGCCTGGGAAACCAGGCTGCCACCATACCAGAAGGACTCACACAGGTGACACACTCTAGACCTGAGGAGGCCTTCCACAGTGACCCAACACAAAGTGCAGTGCCCTCTCCAAAGCTAGTGGTCAGGAACCTTGAAGGGTTAGGTTCAGAAGGCTGGCATCTACTGGGCAAAGCAAGCAGATATTCAGTTCTTCTTCTTTTTTATCTTTTCCTATATATAGAAAAAAAACCAACCCAACACTTTATACATGTATAATTCAGGGACGTCAGTGACATCCTTCATGATATACAACCATTCTCACTGCCCTTTTCCAAATTATTCCACCACCATTAACATGAGCTCCATGCTCCCTAGGCAAAAACTTCCCCTCACTCTTCCCTCCCAACCCTGGGAACCACTAATAAGCTTTGCCTATTTCATATAAGTGGGATCGTACGGTGTTTGTCCTTTTGTGGCTGACTGACTTCACTAAGCACGATGTTTCTGAGGTTCCTTCACGAGGTGGCATGCATCGGGACTTCACTTCTCTTCACGGCTGAGTAGTGTTCTGTTGCGTGGATGGACCGTTATGTGCCCATTCATCTGCTGATGGACATTTTGGTTGTTTCTGCCTTTTGGCTTTTGTGAATGGTGCTGCTGCCATGCACACTGGTGGGCAAGTTTCTGTTTGGGCTCCTACCTTCTCTTCTTCTGGGCATGTACCTAGCCTTGGGATTGCTCGGTCATGTGGCAGTTCTATGTTCAGTTATTTTTAGGAACCCACAAACCCTTTTTCACAGTGGCTGCACCATTTCATTCCAACGGATGAACTTCTAGTTTCTATACAACATTGCCAACACCTACTGTTTTCTTTTGTTAAAATCATTGTCATTCTAATAGAAGCCTGGGTGGCACAAGCGGTTTGTGATTGGCTGCTAACCCAGAGGCTGGCAGTTTGAACCCACCTAGCAGCTCTGCGTAAGAAAGATCTGGTGATCTGCTCCTGTGAAGGTGACAGCGAAGAGGACTCTAGGGAGCCGTCCTGCTCTGTAGCTGAGTATGGTGGCTCCGAGTCGGGGGCTGACACGACAGTAGCGAACAACAGCAACAACAGCGGCTAATGACCAAGCATCTCTTCACGAGCTTGCTGCCATTTGAGCATCCTCTTTGGTGAAAAGTCTGCTCAAATCCTCTGCCCATTTTTTGATCGTGTTGTCTTTTTGTGGTTAAGTGGCCATTTCTCTCTTGCTCTTCCATTTACTGAACTTCAGCTGTGGGCATAACTCTTGGAGCAAGAAAGCCAAAACCCTTGTTTCCAACCACACCCTCATGAAGCCCACCCCAGCTTCTTCCTTCCCTGAGACCCGGTGTGTGTATTTGTGTGGTGTGTGTGTGTGCTGTATGGTGGTATACATAGTATGTGAGTGTGCTGTGTGTGTGGTGTGTGTTACATATGGTACGTGTGTGGGGTATAGAGTGTGTGTGGTGTGTGGTGCGTATGTGGAGTTTGGTATGCATATGGTGTGTGTGGTGTGTTGGCGTGTGTAAGTGTGAGTGATGGGGTACGGTTGGGCAGAGGTCGCTGGCTCTTTGGGGTGCTGTGGGGGTGCTGTGAGTCTGGAGGGATGAGGCATGGAGGTGGAGAGCAGAAAAGCATAGTGAGGGGCATGACTCAGAGGTGACAAGGCTGAACCTCAGCTATGAGGAGGACAGCGGAAGATGGTCGCCTCCCTCCTTTCCTCCACGCCACAGCCCCTACCAAGGCCCTTCACTGAGCCTCTTGCTCTGCTTGGTGAAGTCACCCAAATGAACCTCCTCCTGCCTGCAGCCTCCCGGTGACTCCATGTGTGGCAAAGCAGAAGTACTCCGTAGGGCTTCTTGGCTGTAATCTTACAGGAAGTGGGCCACCAGGTGGGTTCAAACTGCCAACCTTTAGGTTAGTGGTCAAGTGCAAACTGCACCATCTAGGGACCTTACATGGGCCGCCAAAAGTCTGAAATTTGGGCAATGGCTTGTTTTGCTTGTTTGTTTATACTTCCTGCAGCTGGTCTGGGACCGGGTGACAGGATCTTTGTTCCTCCTTCCTGCACCTGTTTTGTCACCTCCTAACCCCCCCACACCCAATCCTGCCCCTCCGGAGCCTGGGGAAATCTTTGTGGGGTGCTTTGCCCTGAAGAAAGCTAGAAGCATCTCTCACAATTCTGTCTTTCTAGTCGCTTTTCCTCCCTCTCCTTTCTTTTTTTCTTCCCCAAATGTGCGTGTGCGCGCTCTCGCGCTCGTTCTCCCTCACCCCTTAAATTCCCAGGGCTGCCTATCTCCCAGCAGCTCCCCTCCCCCGCCAGGAAGAGGATTTCCGGGGTCTGGGAAAAGCCTCCGGGTTTTCAGAGGGGCCCAGGCCCCTCAGGGACCTTGGAGGGGGGAACTGGTTCCAGTTGTCGCGAAGGCGAAGAAAAGGACCAGGACCACCGAGCAGCGGGATTGGTCGGACAGGCCGTAGGCGCTTTGTTCCCGCCTCCTGGTTACCAGGGCCCAGCCTATCAGCGTCCTGAAGGCTCTGTGTTGCCAGGTGGTTGGGGTGGGGACTGGGGCAGGTGTGTGTGCGTGAAGGTGGAAGGAATGGGGTGGTTGGGGGGTTCCTCGGGGCTTTCCTCGAGGTCCTTCGCGTCCGGTCTCTGGGGTCCTCGAGTGGCGGCTGCAGACTCAGGTCGCCCCCAGACCCGGAGGCTACCGCCCCTCCTTCCAGAGCGCGCCTCTCCCCCGCCCCTCGGCGTGCCCATGCCAGCCGCTCCGGGTCTAGTCGGAGCGCGCGCCCGGCCCCCTCCTCGCGCCCGCGCCCGCCTTCCCCTCCCGCGACCGAGGGGCGGGGCCGGCCTGGTCCCCAACGCTGCCGCCGGAGCCCCTTCCCCTCGCGCTCGGGCGGCGATTGCAGCCCAGGCGCCTGACCCGTTCCACCCCAGGCACCTCGCGTGCAAGCGGCCAGTGGCCGGAGCCGGAGGTAAGCACAGCGGAACAGGTGGAGGTTCGGGCGCGGGCGGGGCTGGGCGGGGAGGGGGCCAGCGGGGACGCAGCTCTTTGTTTCCCGAGCCCGTTCGCGGGTAGCTGAGGCCGCTCTTTCTCCCGGCAGGTGTCGGGGTCCCTCGGGAAGGCCGCCCCGGGCCCCCTCCCCTCCTCTGGAGCCCGTGGCAGCTCCCTGTCCCTGAGGCTGGCGGTTTAGGTCTCCTAGGGGCGAGGGGTGGGCGCGTGGGTCTCGGGTCTTAGAGGGCCCACTGCAGGAGGGGCAGTGTGGCGGGGTGGGCCAGGGCCGACAGGGCTTCCAGCGTTTGGGGAAGGCGGTGGGGGTGGGACTTGGGGACAATCAGCTGAGCAACGGGGCGTGTGTGTGGGTAGGATGGAGGGGAGCCATAGGGATGGAGGCTGAGGTTCCTGCGCCCGTGAGTGGCGATGCTGGGGAAGAGGCAGCGAGGTTCTCGCAGGCGGTGTCGCGGTGCAGGACCTGGGGTGCTGACGGGCCACTCTGGTCACCAGGTGCAGCATGGACAAGAGGGACAAGACCAAGGCTGGAGCCCCCGCGCGGACGCCGGCTTCTCGCTCTCCCGCCCTTCCGACCCCCAGGCCCCCAGGGTCTCCTCGACCCCCTCCTCCAGTAACTACCGCAGCCCTCCGAGTTCTGGGAGCAGCGGGGCGAAGGCCCCTGGCAGAGCGAGCCGGGAGTATGGGGGGAGCCACTCTCCCTGAGGCCGCTCCCCGGATAGGAACAGCGCGGAGCGCCGGGCCAGGCCCCCGGAGTCCAGGTACCCCAGCCCTCATCCCTGCTCCCAACCCCATCTCCCTTCCTCCCTTTCTGTCCAGTCACTAGTCCCGCCCTCCTGCCCTTCTGGGGCCCCACTGACTCTGCTCCCCGCAGCCTCCAGGACCCCCGCGGCTGTGAGAGTGGAGCGAGTCCCTGCCAAGGCCTCCGGGCCGGCCTCTGTCTCTACCTCCGCCCGTGCCAGCGGGACCTCCAGGTAACAAGCCCCCATCAAGTCCTCTAGACAAGGGTTTGCGTCATTATCTGGAGCCTTTTAATTTTACACACAAGTTGAGGGGGCGTTTGAAAGTGTGCAGATTCCTAGGCGCAAGTTGGGTGAAAGCCGTTATTAACTCGCGGAGAGACCAAGGGCTCCAATTCACTGAAGAGAAAATGGGGATTTGAGAGGTCAAACAGGGAGCTGGGGCTCTGCCCTGAGCGCCGCCCGTCCTGTCCTCAGGCCGGGGGCTCCTGGTCAGAAGGGCCTACGACCTCCGGCTGAGGGGCCTGTCGCCCGAGGAAAAGCTCCGGAGGCACCCAGAAGGAGCGGCTCCAGTGCTGGGGCGCGGAGAGGTACGTGACCTGGAGAGGAACGAGGTTCCTGGGCAGCGAGAGGGAGACTAACGGTGACCCCTTGGCCTTCTGCTTTGCCTCTAGACGCTACTGGGCCCACTCCTGGGGCTTCCTCCCCGGCCATCGCTCGTCGATCCCGGGTGCCCGAACCCGAAGTGGGACTTCGCCGGGCAGCTCCGAGTACCCGGCCGCGGCCCCCCACTGAGGTCCCCAGGAGATCAGCGAACTGCACCACGGAACGGAGTACTGCTGAGGCGAGTCCCGCCACCAGGAGGCGGCCGAGCGCCGGCGGAGGCCTCCAGAGGCCGGCCACGCGCCCTCTGGGCTCGAGCACCACCCTTCTGCCTTCTCCAGGTCGCTCTGGGGCTTTGTCCCGAGGGACACCCGGGGCTCTGGCTCACGCGTCCCAGCCCAAGTCGAAAGGTCTGCAGGCTCTGCGTCCCCTGCAGGCCACACCCCCCAGGAAGGCGGCAGCCACTGGGCGGGGCCAGTCGCCTCCTTTGGCCACATCCTCTCTGCAGGGTCCCAGTGCACAGCAGGCACCGCCTCCCCATATCACTGACCCCTCGATGCCTGCCACGTTATCGGCTTTTCCACCGACCATACCCCCTCTACCAGCCAAGCTCGGTCTTCAGGCCCTGACTTGCCCACCGGTGACATCCCTTCCCCACGACCTAACTTCTCTTCCGACCACACCTCTTCCACTAGTCCCTCATTCGGCTACACTCCCTCAACCCCCGCTTTCTTCTTCAGCAGCTCTGCCCCCCCTGCAAGATCCATCCTCTTGTCATGGTACATCCTTTCCGGAGGCATCCGCCTCTCCTCTAGCCACGCCCACTTTTCTGGCTTCATTCTCCCCATCAATTTCACCCCCTCTGCAGAGTATACCTCCTACCCAGGCTTCTCTGGCTGTGTCCCCGCTTCCTTCTCCCTCAGACACACCTCTTTTGTGTGGAGGGGTTACGTCCCCTCCATCCTCTAACCTGTCCCTGACAGTATCTCCACTGTACTTGTCCTCTCCTCTAGCCACGCCCTCTCCCCTAGCCACACCCTCTCTGCAGGTCCGTCCCTCTATGACCACGCCCCCTATCCAAGCTCCGCCTTCTCTCTCTCCACATCCCTTTCAGGCCACGCAGGACCATCCTCTGGCCACATCCCTGCAAGCTTCTGTCTCTTGCTTGACTACACTCTCTTTGCAGGATCCTCGTTCTCTAGCCTCTCCCTTAGCCACACCCCTTCTACAGGCCCCATCTTCTCTGTCTTCACAGCCTCTGCAGGTCCCGCCCTTTCCCCTGGCCATGCCCCCTACACAAGCCACGCTCTCTTCTATAGCCTCGCCCCCTCTGCAGGCCCCGCCCTCTCCCCCTGCCACACCCCCTCTCCAGGCCCCTTCTTCTCCGGCCTCACCCCCTCTGCAGAATCCTCCCTCTCCCCCGGCCTCACCCCTTCTGCCGGCCCCTCTCTCTCCCCCGGCCTCACCTCTTCTGCTGTCCCCTCTCTCTCCCCCTGCCTCACCCCCTCTGCAGGTCCCTCCCTCTCCTCCGGCCTCACCCCTTCTGCTGACCCCTCCCTCTCCCCCTGCCTCACCCATTCTGCAGGCCTCTGTCTCTCCTCCAGCCTCACCCCCTCTGCAGATTCCTTCCTCTCCCCCCACCTCACCCTCCCTACTGGTTCCACGTCGTCCCCCGACCCCAGGTCCCGATGCCCCAATTCCCGGCTCAAGGCTGACCCTACCGCTGGCCCCAGCCCCGCCGCCGCCCTCACGCAGCCCGTCCAGTACGCTGAGCGGCCCGGACTTGGCCGGCCACAGCAGCAGCGCCACCAGCACGCCTGAGGAGCTGCGCGGCTACGACAGCGGGCCCGAGGGTGGTGCCGCAGCCTCCTTGCCCGCCGACGCGGAGCTCGCCGCTTGCCACCCGGCCGCCTGGAGCCGAGGGCCCGCTCCGCCGCTGGCGGTCCGCGCCGCCCCAGGTGAAAGACCTTTAACACCTGGCCAGGGCAGGGCTGTGGGCGGGGGCTGTAAAAGGGCGGGGCCGGAGGCGGGCCCTCGCTGCTTGGGGCGGGGCGTCTAAGAAAATGGGCTCGGTACCGTGCCTGGGCGGGGCTAACTCCTGCTTGGGTTCAGCCAGAGCTTTTTCCCACAGGAGCGCCCATGCCATGGCCGCCTGCTGCCGGGCCCGGCTCCGCTGATGGTCTGTGCACCATTTACGAGGCTGAAGGGCCTGAGGCGGCGCCCCCAGCCCCCGACTCTCTGGATCCGGGGCCCGGAGCCAGCAGTGGGAAGGCGGCGGCGGCGGCGGCGGCGGGAACGGGGGCAGCCCCGCGGGGCTCGAAGCCGCCGCGTCTGGGCGAGCTGCCGCTGGGGGCGCTGCAGGCGAGCGTCGTGCAGCACCTCCTGAGCCGGACGCTGCTGCTGGCGGCGGCTGAGGGCGCGACGGGCGGCGGTGGTAGGGGCGCAGAGGGCGCAGGCGGGGGCGGCGGCACGGGGGGTGCCCGGGCTGCGCTCAGCGATGCGGAACTGGGCCGCTGGGCCGAGCTGCTCTCTCCACTGGACGAGTCCCGTGCCAGCATCACCTCTGTCACTAGCTTCTCCCCCGACGATGTGGCTTCCCCTCAGGGTGACTGGACTGTGGTGGAGGTGGAGACCTTCCACTGAGCCACACCCAGGCCCTGCCTTCCATACCCACCTGCCTTACGATCTGTGCCCCCCCCCCACCTTCGTGTCGCTTTGTCTTAGACTCCGTCCCATTCTATTATTAGCCTCAGCCTCCAAGATACTTAAGTTTTTGGCCTAGGCTCTCTCCTTAGGCTCCACCCCCTTGGCCTAAGACACGCCCCGCGCCCTTGAGCCCTGCTCCTTGCCGCCGGAGTTTGCAATAAAGCTGGTCCACTGGAATTTCGCCTTTGGCGTCGCCGCGGGGACTGGGGTGGCGCGGGGCTGGGCACGAGCAAGTCTGAGCTCTGGCTGAAGACCTTTCTCCTGCAGAAAAGAAGGGACGTGCGAGGCGGGGCTCGTCGGCCTGCTGTCGGGCGCAGCGTTTCCTCCATGTGCTTCCTCATGTCCGACTTTTGGTGACAATTCGGCTCAAAAGGAGCTCTGGTGGCATAGGGCCTAAGGCACTTGATTGCTAACCAGAAGGCTGGCGGTTCAAACCGACCAGCCACTCCTCGGAAGGAAGGTTGGGAAATCTGCTTACGTAGTGATACCGCCTCGGAAACCCAAGGAGGGGTCGCTATGAGTGGGACCCAGCGCCCCGACAGTGCGTTTGGTTTTTTTGGTTTGCGGCGCAAAAAGGCACAGGGGACCAGATGCTCCTGGAGAGGCCACGGGAGCCGTTGCTGCGGCCCCTCCTCACAGTGCGCCCCCCCCCCTTACCTTGCACGCCCCGGGGCGCTGCTCTGCGTGCGAAGGCTGCTGACTGCCTGCAGACTTTGTGAGGGTCGGGGCTGGAGGCAGGAGCTCAGTGTGAGAGGGGAGGGAGGAAGTGTCGGCCGCGCTCTGTGCCCCCCTCCTTGCTCGCACCTCCCGGAATCCTGGATGCACCACGGCAGCTGCGGGCAGGCCAACCTGTGGCCCAGACCCTCTGCGGGAACAGGGGACCCATGGGGCCTGGGTTTTGCCAGTGCCTGACCCGCTTGTCCAGAAAGTAGGGAAGAAGTGGACTCTCCTGGGGCTTGGCAGGAGACCAAGGAGTGCGCACGCGCCCCCCCCCCCACACACCTCCGGATGTGCAAGGCTCTCACCCAAGTCGGTGCCCTGCTGGCGTCCACAGTCAGGGGTGCTTAGGAGGCCTGGGCACCATTTCCACCTGGGCATTCTGGCACTCTCCATCTCAGCCACCCTCACAGGCCCACAGTGTCTTCCCCTGGTACCCCAATCAGGATTCCTTGTTCTTCCTCCCCAGCCCAGTCACCCAGCCCAGTCACCCTGACCCTAGTGCTCTTCAGGCCCTTGCTAGGGGCGCCCCCTGCCCAGGCACCGTTGCAGGAAAGTCACCCGAAGGTCTCTTGCTTTGCACCCAGAATGATGGAGGCAAGGCAGGAATTGCAGCCCCAGTTGTCGTTAGTTGCCGTCGAGTCGTCTCCGACTCATAGCGACCCCATGTCCAACAGAACAAAACGCTGCCCGGTCCTGTGCCAGCCCCCACGATCCTTGCTACACCTGAGCCCACCGTTGCAGCCACTGTGTCAATCCATCTCGTTGAGGGCCTTCCCCTTTTTTGTTGTCCCTCCTCTTTGCCAAGCATATCTTTCTCCGGGGAATGTCCTTTCTGACAACATGACATGAGACGTGGTGAGATGAAGTCTGGCCATTCTTGCTTCTAAGAAGCATTCTGGCTGCACTTCTTCCAGGACCAATTTGTTAGTTCTTCTGGCAGTCCGTGGTACTTCCAGCATTCTTCGCCAACACCACAACTCAAAAGCATCGACTCTTCATCGGTCTTTCTTTTTCATTGTCCAGCTCTCACGTGTATATGAGGCAATTGAAAATACCATGCAAAATGCTTTTGTCAAATGCACCTTAGTCTTGAAGGAAACATCTTTGCTGTTCAGCACTTGAAAGAGGTCCTTT